ATCAGAGCCTAAAGAATCTAAAGTAATTTATTATGCTTCTTTTTTTTAAATAGAGACAGAGAGAAAAACAGAGAGAAGTAATTAGAAAGATAGAAAGATTGAAATAGCGATTAGAAGTATATTAAATATACACCAACAAAACACAGGACCACACACCCAACATCTGTCCGCTCACCTGAAAAATAAATGGATAAATACATGGAGGGCATATATAAAAATATACACATACCCATTCATATATAAATATATACATACATACATGCCTACATTCATAAATATTGTCAGTATAAACACACAGACATATATATACACACTCAGTGACCATTTATTATGCTTCTTAAGTGGTTCTTGTATTTTAGTTAAATAGATTCAGTCTTTCCAAGAGTATTCTATGGAGGATAAATAGATTTGTGCAGAGCAATAAATGTTTTTTTTTCTGATTGGAAAATGATGTGAACGACTGCTCACAGGTGCACATTTCATCTGTGTTWAAGTGTTTTTACTTTATTCCTGCTGCTGCTGACAGTTTGTTTATGTCTATTTCTTCCTGTTTTGCTCTAATAAGGAGTGGTTCCTCTGTCCACGGTGCTTAAAAGCCAAATATGTCATCTTTTTTTTGTCTTTCTGTTGCTCTGAGTGCTGAATCATCTCATTCGCACTTCCACTTGCTGAATCTTCTCACTTTTCCTGACAACACTGTCAGTTTCAAAGCCACCACAGCAATCCTGTTGAACATCTTTTACCTCACAGCTGAGCGTTTGTCTCCGGTGTCTCGTAGAAAAACGCTCGAGAAGAGGAGGGAAAAGAAGAAGTGTTAAAGAACCTCCTGATCAAAAAGGCTTTATGTGATCCACTTCGTTCTCTACAGCTGTGGTTCAGACATAAATGCTGATGTAAAGCTCAGACAGGGGAACTTGTTTTAATACTCTGCAGTGTTTCCATCTCTGGCTCTGATCCATCAGAGCATCTGTTTGAGGAAAAATCTAAGAAAAAACACTTGAAATTTTGCAGGCGCTGTCAAAAATAAGCTGTAGGTTCATTAGCCGCGAGCGAAGCTAATCGTTATGCAGAGCTGCTGCTGCAGGAAGCAGTTTGGGCTGAACTTTTGTGTTTTAGGCTCTTAACAGCTTTACAGTCATTTTTTATATATTTATAATCACAACCTATTTTCAAAATTACAGACTTAGCCATGCACATTATTACCTCCGCCAAGGGTGAGGTAATGTTTTCGGTCGCGTATGTCCGTCTGTCTGTCGTTCTGTCTGTGGACAACGTTACTCAAAATCTTGAGGACAGATTGACATGACATTTTTACCACATGTGGGTACTGGGCCAAGAAACACACCTTTAAATTTTGATGATGTTCCGGATCACGATGCGGATACAGGAAGTTTTTTTTAACACTCTGAGATCGGCAAAGCTGTGATGCTTTCACAGGGCTTCTGTAAAAAACAGTGAGCTGGATTGGACAGCACGGACTTCAAACTTTATAAAAGTAATGTTAAAACCACATTTAATGATGAATAATTTTTGCCATAAAATGCGCATTTACAGAACGTTTTGTGACCAGGAAGTGTGTGACTGCACCATGAAACCTATTTTTCCCATTTATGAAACAACCAATCAAAACAGTTTCTCACCACTAGGCTTGTAAACAGAGAGCTGCCGGGCCTCAAAGTTTGGAGACGGGGGGAGCCAGGAAGCACTTTATAAAGAGAGTCAAACCATTACAAACTCATACAAGGAGATAAAACAGACGTTTTACATGGTGAAATGTGACTGATGAAAACTTAGGAGCTTAATCCCACACCAGTTTGACCATGAATAACGTCGGGTCACGAGTCTGACTTTTTTTTTCCACATTGGACTCCACCGAGAAAAAATCCCGTGCATACTGCTGCTTAAATGTTCACTACATCAGAACTTATTCAGCAAATGTGTTTCCATCTCTGCTTTTGTGCATTAACTCTTACAGGATGGGGGATAATTGGTCTTGGTGGCGGTTTGCACTCTCCGAGTGCTTCTAGTTTTAGTTGCTATTGCCACCAAAGGTTCCTCCCGCAGGTCCACATCCAAGTGATGAGAGCTGCTTTAGTGGCAGGAGGGCATCCTGTGCAATTCTAGACAGGTAGATTTATAGTAGTGGCTTATTGGAGTCCAGATCACTGAAACAGGACACTGTTCTGCTGTGCTGTTCCCTCTGTCATGTCCCAAAACAGCCTGTCAGGCTGGATAATTAGCTCCCGCTAACCTAAAAGAGCCATCTCTGACAGGCCATCAGTCATACGCTGGTCTCCTGCGGGGCGTGTCTGGGCCTGTGAGCGAACACCAGAATCTGTCCGACACCAGCAGGTGCCTAAAGAGAGAGACAGATGGTGAAGTGGTGTCACGCAGGTTCCTTAAGGGCGGAACAAGGTTCAATTTAATCAGGCGTCCGCTTGCTTGGTGACTCCTGCCAGCATCACAATCCCTTTTAAGCACCTGTTCTTTTCCTTTTTTTTTTTTAATGGATGAAACTTTGTTGGAAGTCGTTCAGCATAGAGTTTTCAGACTTGGCTGCATTACAACATCATAAACAAAACCTGAGAGCAAAGGAACGCATGCTGCAATAACCAGACAGGACATGTTTCACTAAATCATGTAAATATTAGGGGTGTAAAAAAAAATATCGATACATTGAAATATCGCAATATTTCATCTCCTGATACTCAATTCTCAAAAGCACTGCAGTGATTTTTTCATTTGGGGTTAGATCTGATTTTATGCTCTCTATGTTAAGTTTTTAAAAATTTGAATCTTTTGGAGAGAATAATAGCAAAATGTTGCCTTGCTTACAGAATTGTTTTGACCAACCATCATCCAGCTGTTCCATGTATGCTGGAAAAGAGTTTAGTTTTAAATAGGAGGTAAGACCTAATGAATATGTAATAGAGACTGAAGCTGGCTGTAGTTTTGAAGTTGCACATAAAAAATAATTAGAAATGATAGTTACTATTGCAGCACTATTGCAATATGTCATTATGGTAAGGTATTGTGATGTATCGCGATATATCATATTAGCTGCATTTCCACTGACCATGAAAATGCGCAAATTGGAATTTCAAAAATAAATTTGCTCAATGGAAACACGTCAATTTCAAAAAGAAAAAACTATGTTTTTTGACAAAATAGTTTTGAGCTAGGAAGATGTGGGTTTTCGGCCGTATCGAAATTGATGTATTTCACAAAACTGCAATRGAAGCACTTTTTTCACATCACAGGAGTCACGTGATCAAGAACCGGCTGTTTCTACTGGCTAAAATGATGACGACGAAGAAGATAACAGGAAGTAGAAGTAGTAGTGAAATCTCCGAAGTAGTAAAAGAAAGTACTAACTCACCGACTACATTTTCCCAAAAACGCAGCATACGTATCCGCTCCCACGTATAAGAGACTTCTCGCTGGAAARCCTCGATAAAAGACGCCGACGTCTCCTCTGATGATGAGCGCCAGTGTCGTGGTAGCAACATGCTATGTGTTTACATCCATCGCCTCAATGTTTGTAATGACTTATCATGAGAACAAACGTATTCACGCGTGACTTTAATAGCGTTTCTTACTTAATGGAAACACCGCAGTTGCGAAACTGTGTTTTTTCGACATTAACAGAATATCGACAAAGTTTTGCGCACATTTRCAATGGAAACTCAGCTACTGTGACCTCTGTGTCATGAGATGTATCATATCACCAAATTCTTGCCATTGCACAGCTCTAATCACAAATAGAAATGCTGAAAATAGAAATGCCACTAATAGTATTGCAACAGTATCGCAATATGTCATAATGTGATGTATCGTGATGTATCGTAATATATTGCGATACATCGTATCGTGACCTCTGTATAACATCACCAAATTATTGCCAAAGCACAGCCCTAATCACATACTGACATGCTGAAAAGAGGTTTGCCACTAATCCTTCTAATAGTTAATTAATATTGCAACAGTATCACAATAAATCATAATGTGATGTATCACAATATATTGCGATATTTGTCCTGATATGTATCATATCACCAAATTCTCACCAATACACAGTCCTAATAAAAATGGCTGTAAAAGCAACAACAAAACAACACCACAATGCAAATGCAGGAATTGATCTTGGCTGCTTAAATTTTGCAAATATTAGGCTAAAATTTGGTGTGGTAGTAGCTGAGAGTCGTTCACATCACATACTCTGAGTGTGGTATCTTTAGGTAGGTGAGATTTTTACATTTTTATCAAGAAACCCAGTTTTATGCTTCCATGTAAAAGATGTTGATGTTTTTCTCTAAATTTTTGATAAGAGCCATTGTTCAGAATTACCTGTTTATTTCTGTAAGCACTTCAGCTGAGAAATTAAAGCAAGATTTATTTATTTCATTTATTTTAACACAGCCCGTCCTTCAACATTTCTTTTTAATTTTTTTTCTTGGGTTTTTTGATTACTCTCCACAATAATAATTTTTTCGCCTTAAAGTGTGATTAAAGCAACAAATCTGCCAGACAGACAAAGACCCTTTCTGACAGGTGGAATGATGGAGGGGAGACGATGAGGGACTGCTTACTAAAGCTTTCAAACAATTAGGTTGCATCCCGTCAGCTGGAGGAGGAAGGGGTCCCAAAGCTCATTATTGCTGGAGTCCAGGATTTGGTTGTTACTGCTCTAAATTCTCTGTCTGCATCAAAACGACGCAGATCATCAGCAGCTCCGTATTTCACATTCAGGTTCTTGTTTTGATGGTTTGTTCTCTGAGGCTTTCCAGTCATGTTATTTGCTGTCTTATGTATTCATCAAAAGTTCTCTTTGCATCCATATATATAATTTTGAGAGCAAGTTCACCAAAATAAAGGCAGTTATTAGAAGTTATTTGTCTGCTCTAAAGATCCGTTACAAGAAGTTCTCACAACAAAGATCATGTTTCTAATATTTTTATCAAACCAATCAAAACCATCTTTCCTTTTCTGCGTGTTTCCAGGCTTCAGAGGAGGTTTCTCTGTTGATGTCCAGCCCCAGGATGCTGCTCCCAGCGTCGAGCACGCTCCCGCCCGGCGCTCCCCTCTCTGTGCATCACCAGATCCAGCTGCTGCAGCAGCAGCTGCAACAGCAGCAGCAGCAGACGCAGGTGGCTGTAGCACAGGTATGTTTATCAGACAAGAAAACTAAAAAAATTCAAACTTCAGTTTGTACTTTCTGCAGGAAGTTGACACTGGTTTGTTAAAAGAAGCACAACAGTAGCTAAAAGATTAAATTAGCTAAACCATAAAAAACAGCTGTTAGCACAGGGGTCTGCAACCTGTGGCTCTGGGGCCACATGTGGCTCTTGGGTCCCTCTGCAGTGGCTCTTTGAAAATGTGGCCAAACATAACAGAAAACATTTTTTTTTGTTGTTGTTGTTTTTATACTCACAACAAAAATCAGTTAGCATGCAAATATGTGATCAATACTACTAATACAAAAAGTAAAACATGTTAGCTCATGCTAGCCTGTTGATTTTTGTATAACTAATAGCTAGCCTGTTGTTTACTTAAATATTAATAAAATTCAGTGTAAACTACATACGGTATTTTTCTTGTTTACATGAATATGGTATTTTTATTTGTCCTGACATGTATAATAATATAATAATAATAATAACAATATTTTTTTAGTTTTATAATGTCGCCTCCACTGACCGTAAAGGTTCCCGGAACGGCCTTGAAAAGGCCCATGGACCACCAGTTGATAATCACAGTTGTAGCTCTGGCCACATTTTATTAGTGAGACTAGCAGCACAGTTGGCTCTTTTGATTGTAAAGGTTGCAGACCCCATATTAGCATAACAATAGCTAAAGCATAAAAGCTAAAAGTTGTAAAATTGTAGCTGTAAATTAAAATCAGCAAGACAGAAGCTAGAAGTTTGAATTAGCAAAACTTTAGCTCAAGTAACATTTGCACAGGTTTGCAAATGTTACTTGTAGCAGCAGTTTTGCTAATTTTAGCTTTTTGCTGCTGTTTTACAACATCAGCTCCTGCGGCTAGCTTTAGGCTTTATTAGCTCATTTTGTTTTAGTTGCTGTTTTGTTGGATTTAGCTTTTAGTCATGGGTTTACAAATGTTACTTTTAGCGAAAACTTGCAAATTTTAGCTTTTGCTGGTTTTTTAATGTTTAAATTTTTTAGCTACTCTTGTTGTAAGTTTAGCTTTTAGCTACTTTTGCAATTGTCATRACTTTGTTTAGCTCGTTTTATGTTTTAGTTACTGTTTTGCTGAGTTTACCTTTTAGCCATGGGTTTACAAATGTTGCTTTTAGCAACAGTTTTTTATAATTTTAGCTTTTGCTGCTTTTTTTAATGTTTAAATTTTTTAACTACTCTTGTCATAAGTTTAGCTTTTAGCTATTTTGCACTTGTCGTATCTTTGTTTAGCTCATTTTTTGATTTAATTACTGTTTTGCTAAGTTTAGCTTTAGCCATGAGTTTACAAACGTTGCTTTTAGCGACAGTTTTTTCTAATTTTAGCTTTTGCAGCTTATTTTAATGTTTAAATTTTTTAGCTACTCTTGTCATAAGTTTAGCTTTTAGCTATTCTGCACTTGTTGTAGCTTTAACTCATTTTTTGATTTAATTACTGTTTTGCTAAGTTTAGCTTTAGCTTTGAGTTTACAAACGTTGCTTTTAGCAACAGTTTTGCTAATTTTGACGTTCTTGTTGCTGCTTTGCTAATTTTAGCCTGTGCTTGCTTTAAGTTTGATAATTCAGTTTCAGCGGCTTCATCAAAGTCCAGCATTCCTGCTGCTCGTTTTGCAGAATTGTTGCTAATTTTTCCGGTTTATCGGCTGTTTTGTTTGGACGCTCCGAACTCGACAGCAGCAGCCTGCAGACAGAAAGAGGCAATGTTTGTTTGTTTATTTATGTTTTTGTCTGAATGTCATCTGGTGTGTCACATGTGTGGGCTGTCAAGCCAGTCAGAAATAATAAAGCAGCCTTATTATCCCTGAACGCTGCATGAGCTGGACGTTAGCTGAGCCCTCGGCGCTCTGAGGGGAGCTCATCCCGTCTGGAGGGAGGTGTAATCAGCTGGAAAAAGGCTGAATGATCTCTGATCACAAACACTATTAAGATATTTCTGCAGCTTGATGGGTAAATGAAAGGAAAATAAATAGAAAGCACTCTGCAGCAGACATGAATGTTTCAGCTCCAGTGGCTGCGGTGGGAGAGCAGACAGGTGAACAAGTTTGTGAGTTCGGCTCACAACATTTTAACTCATTCAGTTTGTGTCCTGAATTTAAAAAAAACTGCAGTAAAAAAACTTCAGTTTCACTCCTCAACGAACCTGATCCCTCCTGGGACTCAGAGGAGGATTCAGGGATTTTATAGAGCCGCCTGTTTACAGTAAACTCAGGCTTGTTTTATCATTTTTATTTTCTAGCTGAATGATGGAGCAGCTGCAGACGATGCTCACACGTTCACAACGTATAAAACTGTCAGTAATTATTAAAGGAAGAGGCCAGAGTTTACATCACAGACTCTGATGGAAGTTTCTGTAATGAGTCAGAGCTTCATCTCCTGGTAAATGTTTCAAAGACGTCTGACCTGGAGKTTTTTTATTTTTTTTTTTACCAGTTACAGCAGAAAGCTTAAATTTTACCAAGCTGCTGTCTCAGTTTATCTTCACCAATTCATTCCTGCTCTTCTGTTTGCTTCTTCTGCAGCACGGTTGTCTTCATTTGATGTATAAAGAGTAGTAAATAAACAGGAAATAATTACATCTATAACTGTCAAACTTGAGCCTTTACTCTGTAATTATGAGACATAAACAGGAAAATTAAACATTAAATTGGAAAAGAGCAATTTTGCATCAAATATCCGGACCCTCCGGTCTCAGGTTGTTTTAAATCAGGGGTGGGCAATCCTGGTCCTCGAGGGCCGCAGCCCTGCATGTTTTATTTTTTTCTCTGCTCAAACACACCTGATTTGAATGAATGGGTGATTATCAGGCTTCTGCAGTACGGAGGACCAAAACTGACATAATTAAAAATAAAAGCGGAAATGTATAAATTGACTAATAAATAAATAAATAAATACTTAAAGTGCACCAATATAATTCAAAAAGGAGAATTTTATTTAAAGTATATACAGTATAAATATATATACATATACATATATACAGACAGCTAAATAAATAAATACAATTAAAAATGTACCATTTAAATTAAAAAGGAGAGCTTTACCTCACGCTTTTAATTTAATTGACCTTCACATTTATTTTCCAACTTAGTTCCAACAAATAATATATTTTTGCAAAAAAAAGCGTAAAATGTAAATGATGTGCA